AGTGGTTTCATTCTTGAGCACACCGAATGCTATATCTCTAGTGACCAACATGGCTTCATGCCTGGACGATCGGTTACCACAAATCTTCTAGACTTTACCACGACATGTTTTGAGCAACTGGAAAATGGGGCACAAATAGACGTCATCTACACTGATCTAAAAGCAGCGTTTGATACGATCAACCATAACATTATGTTGGCAAAGCTATCCAAACTCGGTGCGTCGGACCGTTTGACTTCGTGGTTGTGCTCCTACTTGACTGACAGGTCTCTGCGAGTGAAACTCGATTCCAGTACTTCCTCGTATTTCACGAACTCGTCAGGTGTACCACAGGGTAGAAATCTTGGCCCGTTGCTGTTTGTGTTGTACATCAACGACCCACTTCTTCTACTTGGAGATGGCTGTAAGCTTGCGTATGCCGATCACCTAAAGCTGTACTTCGTGGTGCGGACTGCTGAGGATTGCATTCGTCTTCAATCGGTATTGGATCTGTTCGTTGATTGGTGTCGTCGGAATAAGCTTACCCTCAGCATTCCTAAATGTATGGTAATGTCGTATTACCGCATTAGGCAGCCGATTGTTTTTGACTATGCCATCAACGGTGTGGTTCCGACCAGTTTAGCGATCTTGGTGTTCTACTGGACCACCGCTCGCTCTGATCACAAAGGCGAATCGCCAGCTAGGTTTTGTGTCGAAAATATCGAAGGACTTCATTGACCCACACTGCCTGAAAGCTCTCTATTGCTCACTTGTGCGACCAATCCTGGAAAATGCCTCCTTGGTCTGGTTTCCTCATCAGTTGACTTGGAGCTTGAGGATCGAAAGTGTTCAGCGCAAGTTTATCAGGATAGCATTACGTAATCTACCATGGCGTGATCCGTAAAATCTCCCGCCGTATTCTGATCGCTGCAATCTGCTGAGCTTGGATACTCTGGAATGCCGACGGAAAAATCAGCAAGCAGTTTTTGTTGCCAAGCTATTGAATGGTGAGGTCGACTGCTCGAGGCTTCTCTCGCTGTTGGATATCCGAGTACCACCGAGAACATTACGAAGTGGTACCCTTCTCCAACCGCGGTACCATCGAACGGCGTTCGGTTACAACGAACCACTAACAACTATGATGCGTACGTTTACGGCTGTCGAAGAATTATTCGAATTTGGGGAATCTTCATCTCGCTTTTTGGCACGGATTAGAAACACTTGAATTGTTTTAGCTTTAAGGTTGTTTCATGTAGACAATAGTCCGATGAATAAAATTAAATAATAATAATAATAATAATAATAATAATAATAAAGCGCTGGGTAGAACTCAGTAACCCGTTCTTCGGGGGAAAGCTGTAGCCTGAAAAGCGACAACAAGATGACAAACAAAAACAGGGTAATACAAAACAACAACAATGCAAGCAACAACAAAAACGGAACGAGAATGATGCCAAGTAGATGGCTTCAGAAAAACAGAAGGGAAATGAGTTACGGACAGTGGGCAGAATGGTACTGTTGTTGGACACAAATTGTAGCGCTTCACTCATGCACCCTAGAAGCACAAACGAAGTGACAGACGGAACGGCTCGAAAACTTTGGTGACTAACCTGCTATTGCAATTTTTCAGTGTACCACATGGCAACACCACTACTACTGGATTGTACTACATGGCAACACTACTACTGGATTGAACTAGCATTTTCACCAAATGTACTAGAATGTTTTGGTTCTCTTTCACTCTACTCAAAACTGAAATACATAAAAAAAAAATGACAAAATGATACGCTCTTTGCACACTGTCAATGAATCATTGTACACAAAATCAACTTTGTGCAAAACAAAAACAAAAATAATATCCCATCTGGTGGATGATGGCACAAACTTCCAAGAAAATTCTATTACAGTGAACCAGATTATTTTAATGCATTTCTTCGCCAGTTAGTCGTCTGTCACTTCGTTTGTGCTAGAAGTTTGGTGACTTCTGCAAAGTTGTTTAGTTGGATATGGACTCTCTTTTGATTTATATCGTTAAGTTACACGCCGTTCAGATGGTGCTTGGATAGTCAGGTGTAATGAGTGATTTTGGAATGAATTTTACAGAAATCTGCCTACACATGCACTTCATCGTGAAAGTCTGAGAGCCAGCACGTTTATTCTCCCGTGGTCGTACCCACTCTTTCATGTGAATGATTGAGCATACATTTTGTATTGAAAATTTCATGTTGTGTGAGCGCAGGCAAGCGGTGTGAGTTGCCTGTTTGTGAGTGACTGAATGTTTTTGTTGGCTCTTTCATTGCCTTTACCGATAGGTACAAACAGTCTGCATAGAGCAATTATCTGAATAGTTCAGTACTTTTAACACTCTCACTAAGCAGTCAATAATGTTACGGTCTTCCTAACCAACAAATATTCGGCAAAGTTATTTCAACTTTTTTATAACTCTTTCCAAGGGACAAAAGTTCGAAGGAACAAAAGGTCGAATGGACAAAAGGTCGAAGGGAGAAATTAATTTTTTGAAATATGTGATGCCCTTTTTGATTTAAGAATAAATGTTGTTGACAATAAAGCAATGCTTTATATCACAATAACAAAGAAAATAAACATAGATTTTCCGTGGAAAAAAGGATTTTTCCAGTAAACATAAATTCAAAACTGATTATTTCTGGAGTAAAAATGAATTAAGGGAGTAAAAATGAATTAATATGTAAAAGGAACAAGGTTGAAAGATCTGTGCGTTTAATTGATTGATATTTGAATGAATAAGCACTTAAAATAATCAATTGTTCATTATTCAGAGCGAAAAGTTGAAAATTCATGTTTAAAAACTGAAAAATGTAGTGAAATCTGCAGGCTGACAAAATTAGGGAAAAAAGCTAACAAAATCAGGAAATGACAAAATCGGGCGTTGAAAAATTTGAGGTATTCACATAACACATTAAATTGCATCTGTTAAACTGGAAAATTAACTAATATGTAAAAGCTTAAAACTATTTTATTTTTCTATTAAAAATTACTACTTCAAGGCTAACGAGATATTTTTGGCATTTCTACTAAATTATACGGAAGTTCCTATTTTTTTTTATTTAACTTTTCCTCTCTCGAAAGATCGTCCAAACTGACCGAATCTCTGAATTTTACTTTTACAATTTCAATAATCATACTTCCTCATTTGAGTCGATTCACATTGTTCAGCAGCCTTTTCCCTTTTCGCTTTCATCGTTCCCTGATTATTGTAATTTATTGTTATTACCCTTGCACACAACTCCGAAGCCATCCCCGCTGACTACGTGCTCACTGCTCCGCCTAGGTACTTGACCACCGAATGGTGCGTTGATTTTCGCGAAATCACCACCAGAAACAACGAGATGATGATAGCGAATTATTGCTCATTTTATTATTATCTTTTCACTCGGCTTTCCTGCTACAATTGGTAGGTTGGCCGTCGTCGTCGTCATCGAATCGGTCCAACATAAAATTTTGCCCGAACGAGTTCCGTTTTAAGGGATCCCTGGATGGTGAGACCGATCTCACTGGCAGATCGTGCGGACCGTAGTTTATTCGGTGGTTTTACGATCGTTTTATGAGTACAAATCAGCCGGAAAATTTACGATTTGTTTGACTTGCAGCCGGGCGAGCACCATCTTGACCTACTATCAAAGTTATAAAGGACAGTCAGGATCCATCATCGGACGTGGAGCGAAAATTACGACCTTTGCTGCCAGTTTCCCACAATATGTTTTGTGTTTGTATGAAGTTCGGAGCGCCAAAACATATGTTCCTACCGTCCACCGCACCGCACCACCGCTAAGCGGGCTGTCGGGGGACCGTTTTGTGTCTTGTTCATCTAGATACTGATATCAGATTTAGATCAAATCTGATCGCACCTCTCTCGGTCTCTCGCGAGCTGGGGCTATTCTTAGCGCGCACGCGGAGTGTTGAAAGGCAAACAAAACGGGAGAATCCTTCGCTCGTCGTCGATGTCAGTCCCGAGAAAGAGGTAGAAAAGTGTCAACAATTAATTTGGAAGCTCCACGCACACGGGAACGGCCAGGCGTGAGCGTGGAGCGGAAATTCGATCATGTCCAGCGATAGCACTGGCCCGAGATATCAATAAATATTAACTCATTCACTCTGCGGCTCACACAGATTAAGCTGCTCATCTCGCAGAGGTTCCCATGTGTATCGAATTAGAAGGGGCTCGCTGGTTCACCAACAACGGTGATGGTTTTAATTAATTCAAATTTCGGACGGTTCCCAAAACTGGGAAATTATGCCCAGACCTCGCCGAGGTTGAGGGAGTCTGTGTATGGGAGCTGTCGGAGATCAGATTACACGCGTGAGGCAGCGGTGGAAAAGAGGAAGTTGGATGCGGGAGGCAACCGACGGACGATGAGCCGGTTATTCTAAAAGTGTGAACGATTTCTCGGAATGAATAGTTATCCATAACTGCGCGACGGATTGTCTCTCGGTGAACTCGTGACGTGAATGAGTGATGGAGTTGACGACGATGAGGCTTCATGGAGCGAGAAATGGAGGGATGGTGGGGGGAGTGGAGTTATTCGAAACAATGTTACATTTTTTTACCCCATTTTCGGTTCAGCAACGACAAGCGGAGGGGATAAATTCATCATTTCCTACCTTTATTCATGCACATGAATGTATGAACGTTGTCAATGCTGCCGTATTTTTCCGCTTTGCTGATGCTGGGAGAGCACCCAGCATCAGATTTACGATCGAATAAACCAGAACAAAAATACAGATTAAAAATAAATACACGAGTGTGTCAGCGCAAATAATACGATAACGCGTACCGTCGTCAAAAGGATTCGCTCAGATGGAAGTGATTTGTTTGTATTTGCCAGGGATTTATATGCCGATGATGGTGCCACTGCGTTCCACAAAATAGGAGTTCAGTCAGTCTTATTTGTTGTAAATTGTTAGGTTGTTTGGAATTCTATGAATGCTTTTGTTTAAAAACACACTGATTAACTAATTTCCCCGTTTCTTATCTTCCACAGCATCCCGCATGGCAACGACGCACGTGGCGCCACAAGTCTGCCGACCCCACTTCCACGGCCCGCTGTCCTGGCTCAGTGATCCTGCGAAACCGATGGCATCAGGAGCAAGTGCCTGGGGCAGCCCATTTGCCTGTCCACAGGATCCACAGGACAAATTAAGTCAAGCTATAGGACTTGCCGGCCAAGGTACCAGTCAAGCTGTTGGTGGTAGCGCCAGCAGCAGTAGCCAACACCTATTCTCGTTCCCGCCAACGCCACCCAAGGACTCCACGCCGGACTCGGTGCAGACGGCCCCGGCCGAGTACCAAGCCACGATCAATGCCTTCATGCATCAGGCTCAGGTCACTTCGAACAGTATCGCTCAACATGCAGCAGCCGCCGCTGCACACGACAGCTGTATGCTGGACGTAAAGCCTTGCCTAACGGGGAGTTCGCTTGGGTTGAGCGGTGGTAGCAGTGGTAGCGGTGGCGGGATAGGAGGTGGGGGAGGAGGAGGAGGCGGTGGAGGTGGTGGTGGAAATGGATCCGCCGGAAGTGGTAGCAGTGGACAGAACCAACAGCCAAAGCAACGGGAAGGTACGGCCCTGAACATCGCTACCAGCAGTAGTAGCGGTGGTAACCAAAATCATAGTGCGCTGTTTGATACGGGATCGTACGGCGCCGGTGGATACGCCGACACTGTGGGCAACGGTGGCGGCTACGGCAGCTACCATCACCAGCAAAGTGGTTCGTTTCAACCCAACTCACGACCTACGGTTATGAATAGTAGCCATATGAAGTCGCAGCGGACGAAAGCGCGCACCAGTGCCGGTAAGATATGGACACGGTGTGGGGTTTATGTGTTAGTTTCTTATCGGGAAGAGATTTCTGTTGATTATTTATCCCATTATGATTTGTGTCGATCTTTGTGTTCACCAAGCAACGCTTATGTTTGTGCTTAGATTGTCGTGGAGTAAGCCACTCAAGGGTCTCGAAAGGCCTGCACCGCTGTCGCTGTCACAGTCTGTACGTAAATCGTCATTGCAAACACTTTGTACATACCGAAGCACTTGTTGTTACCTCATACGATTTAAGCGGATGGTGAAAACCTGGATTCCATGACTCTTAATACAGTTCTACTAGGAAGTGTCGTTTAGATATGGAATTATGTATCTTTAATAAATTTTAGTTCGCTAAATCTACGGCTTTTCAAATGTTATGCGAGTATTTCAAACATGTTTTTCAGCTCCTAAGCTACCACTTTTAGCTACTTCACAGCCAAACAATCATCAACAATCAAAAGCCACGTATGAAAAGGACATACAAACTTTTTGTAAACAAACCATTTCAAACCATTACTGTAGGCCCTTTCGTCGCCAGCCGCGGTTCGCCCACGCAAACCAACAGTATTACCGGGAAAGGGAAAGTTTCCCCTACCGGGTGATGTTGATGGTTTGTGTGGGTGTCATATGAGCGCCATTTTCGCATGTTGTTCTTGAAATGCTTTTACAAACTTACCATTGAACGTCTGTTTTACATTGCATGTCCATTTGGGTACTTCATTTTGGAAAGAGTGTTAAATTTGTAACAGGCCACCCTCCAGTTCGATTCAGGATCACAACTTATGAACCTGTCCAAAAAATGGTACAGATTTATGAAGGTTAAGAGTTTGCGCAAATGGTTTGACATTTGCATGGGAATTACTTTGGAAGAATATTAAAAATCACTCGTATCGCCTTGACTTTGGTTCTACTGGTTCAAATGTTGGAAAAATACAATATGTTGTTGCTATGACAATGACTTAAAACAACAACAGGTTGTCAAGTGAAGCTTCAATTTTATCACGGTGTGGAGGCGAACCAGCCCCAGGCTGAAAGCCTCCCTAATAAAGATAAATTAAATTAATTAATTTATCACGGTAATTATATTTAAAACCCATCAAGTTTAGATGTAAAGGCACTGTAATTCTATATGCAAAATGCACGATTCAAATACAGTCAGAAATCCTTATTGCCGGGGTAACGGGGGCGTGAATAAGGAACCGCGAATAAAGATACCCAAGCTTATGGGATTTTCACTAATAGGGGCTGTGGTGGATTATTTCATTCGTTTCAATATATAGAGCTATACTGTCTTGGACAAAATTGTTGTACTGAGAAAGACCAACAAGCCTGTGACATTTAATTAAGCTTTAATTGGGAACTGCGCCGCTAGAGGCGCTTCACTTTTATGTTACTTATGACGGGCGTTATAATGTATGGATCTTAGGTCCAACAAAGAATATTTCGTGATCCTGGTCATATAAAAAGTTACTGTTTTCAGCAAAGTTGTTCAACTGACCAAGTCCTTTCGGATGGTGGCCATATTAGTTCAGAACTCTCTCACGACGCAGCACACGAGCTTCCTATATAAGCTGTATCTCAAAATCCTGGCCATATAGAAGGCTACTGTCTTCAGCAAAGTTGTTCAGGCAACCAAGTCCTTTCGGATGGTAGGCATAATAGTTCAGAACTCTCTCTCTACGCAGCGTCGATTTTGTTTTCCGTCGATTTTGTTTTCCGTCGATTTTGTTTTCCGTGCTGAGCACCATTGCACAGTGGTCCAGAATGCAGATTTAGGTGGAATGATATGTTTTGAGCCTGAAATTGAAACTTTAGACTAAAAATCTCTTCTACAAAGTTGTTCCTTATAGTTAGACCCTCATTTTTATGACAATGAATTCTAGAGTGGTTCTTATTATCATTAAAATCAAAAATCTAACTTTTTTGTTTGAATAAATAAAGGTATACATTCTTGAACAAAGTTATAGCTGAGCTAATTTCAAGCAACTTTGTTGGAATTAACTTTTTTGTATCTCTTAAATTGGCCGATTTAGAGCTATTTTCTTGAATTGAGTTAGGGTGGCGCTAAAAAAGCAGTTATTTTGCTCTAGTTTTCTTATTTCAAATTTCTCAGCAAAGGTAACTTGAAATGACTTTTAGACCTTTAAAAGGCGCAAATTTTTGCTCCAGAAAGATTGTCAATACCTTTCGCCGATCAAGAGTTATTGACGTTTTTGTACTAAAAATATGCATTTTTCAAATGGTAATATCTCTGGTTGGGGCGAACAGAAAAAAAAATTATACGGCATTTGAATGGGCGTATATTATTCTGAATAATATGAAAAAATGGAGGTATGTTATTTTTTAAACTCGTATAAAATCAGTTCAAATTTATTCATTTTTTTTACTATATTTGGGTATATCTTTTTTTTTAAGAGATACAGACAACAAATTTCCCTACAAAACATTCGTGTTAAAGAGTTTTAAAAGTGTTTAGAGGATGACTTTCATGATACATTTTAAATAAAAATGTTAGTACTAAAAAACTATTATTTCCAGGAAATCCCTAAGTCAACTCCTAAAAATTACTCTAAAATGAGAACGTTAAGAGATAGAAAAAAAAAAATTCGACAAAGTTGCTTTCAATCATTTTAACTACAACTTTTTCAAACAACACATGTTTTTATTTTGTAAAACAAAAAAGTAAGTTTTAAAAATTCCCTTATTTGAGGACCACCCTGACGTTTGCAAACACCAAAAGAAGGGGACTTTTAAGAACAAAAACTTCTTCTGAGACACTAAATGTCCAATTATTGAAACGTCCTAGTGGTCCTATGAAATCCATCTTTTGTCAATAACTTTTTTTATTTGAAATTTCTCATGAAAGTCATCTTCTAGAGACTTTTAAAACTCTTTAAGGCAAATGTTTTATAGCTGAATTTGTTGTCTGTATCTCTTCAAGTAAAAAAGATATACCCAAATTTAGTAAAAAATATGAATAATTTCAAATTGATTTTATACGAGTTTAAAAAATAACATACCTCTTATTTTTTTCATATTATTCATATTAACATACGCTCTTTCAAATGCCGCATATAAACATTTTTTTTGTTTACCCCAACCAGAGATATTACCATTTGAAAAATGCATATTTTAAGTACAAAAACGTCAATAACTCTTGATCGGCGAAAGGTATTGACAAGCTTTCTGGGGCAAAAATTTGCGCCTTTTAAAGGTCTAAAAGTCATTTGAAGACACCTTTGCTGAGAAATTTGAAATAAGAAAACTAGAGCAAAATAACTGTTTTTTTAGCGCCACCCTAACTCAATTCAAGAAAATAGCTCTAAATCGGCCAATTTAAGAGATACAAAACAGTTAATTCGAACAAAGTTGCTTGAAATTAGCTCAGCTATAACTTTGTTCAAGAATGTATACCTTAATTTATTCAAACAAAAAAGTTAGATTTTTGATTTTAATGATAATAAGAACCACCCTAGAATTCATTGTAATAAAAATGAGGGCCTAACTAGAAGAAACAACTTTGTAGAAGAGACTTTTAGTCTAAAATTTCAATTTCAGGCTCAAAACATATCATTCCACCTAAATCTGCATTCTGGACCACTGTGCATTGCTACCGACGCCAGGAAGGCAGCTCCCACCCCGGACCCTACCTATCGACCCAACAACTCATGAACTGGGGACCAACGGATTTACTTCACTTTTGAATTCCAACATCGATGATTATCGCTTAGCGGTTTCGGACCGTTGCTGTGACGTCATCGTTCTCACTGAGACTTGGCTCGATACTCGCACATTGTCCAATCAAGTGTTTGGTTCCGAATACGAGGTTTTTCGATGCGATCAAATCCGCTCAACAGCCACAAATCTATTGGTGGAGGCGTTCTCATAGCGGTCGGCTCTGGATTGAAGGCAAAAGTTATCGAAAACGATTCATGGAATTATATGGAACAAGTTTGGATTAACATTAAGCTCGCTTACCGCACTTTGTTTTTGTGTGTAGTTTACTTTCCTCCGGATCGAACTCGTGACTCTTCGCTAATTGAATCCCACAGTCAGTCTTATCGAGCTATAATGGAGATCGCTACAGCTTCTGACGAGATGATAATCATTGGCGACTTCAATCTACCGGCAATTTCTTGGCGATCATCCTACGGCGGATTCCTGTATCCGGACCACGACCGTTCTACATTTCACTCTGGAGCTGTAAGCCTTTGGATCATTACAGTATCGCCACTCTGAAGCACATCAACCACGTGGTTAATGAGAACAATCGTAGCTTAGAGCTTTGCTTCGTCACCGCTCAGGATACTGCTCCGCATTTGTCTATGGCTGTTTCTCCGTTGATAAAGACTGTTCCACACCATCCTCCTCTAGTTATTGCACTTAAAGGCAACCAAATTCCTGAGGCCATTCCATAACACCCCCTTCCTACCATAGAGGCGGTATTGGCAAAATCAGAAATCAATTGTCATGATTTGGCAGGCGATTTTCTCGTGCGGAAAACGGAGCAAGCCTTTCGTAACTGAATCAAAAGCCCCCTTAATGTTCAAGAATACTGAAGCCAATTGTTCTTTGTACGCAAAAGCCAGTTGAATATCTGTTGAAAGCAGCGCTAGACAATCGTTTGTTCCTTTGCTCTTGCGGAACCCAAACTGTGTATTTGATAGCAAGCTATTTGATTCGACCCACTGATCGAGTCTCCGAAGGATCATTTTATCCAACAATTTCCTAATGCACGAAAGCATCGCAATCGGACGGTATGAGTTATGGTCAGACCATGGTTTACCATGTTTTCTTTTATTGAATTTAATCATATCGCTTTCCGGTGAGGAGTTGTTCGATGAAAGAAGAGCCATAGAGAATTTCAGCATTGTGAAGGGACTAAATATCCAGAGAGCCACCGCTTGGGGACGTTTCTCGAAGAATATGTTGTGCTGGAACTGAGTCCGGGCAGACCTTTTCAGCGAACTCGAATATCCATCGGTTGGA